GTCACTACAACGCAAAGAATCCACACAAGAATATGTGGGAATTGAAGCCAGAGTTCAGACATTACAAACAAAACCAAAGCTAATACGACAACACATTAAAAGCAATAAAATGTTTTATTTAAAAAATATCATTATTTACATAATCTTTTCAATACAAATATGGATTATCTCTAAAATAAAAAATACGATTAAAAAACTATTCTCTTGGGAATTTAATTGATCTTTTGGCTCTCGAACGCGTCACTCTTTCCGCCTATTCACACAGCAAAACAAACAAAAAAGCAAACAATTAATACAAGTATACAAATGATGGGTCAGTGATAGACAAAAGTAGAGACTTAAGAGACGAAGACAACACATATTGAGACAAAACTCACGGAAGCAATAATGGGAGAGATTGGAGAGAGACAAAGGTTTTGAAGGGGAGGCCTCTTCCTCTTAGAAATAGAGACTGTTATGTCCTTTGGGAACAATGAATATCAAATGAAATGTTAACAACACAATCAATCCAAAACCACAGCAATCTTAACAATTACCTCATTTTCAGTCGAATTACTCGTTTGTTTCCTTTTAGGGGCTTTTTTGCTGTCTTTATTGGAAGTTTTGTTCGCCTTTTTGTTGGAATAAACCATTTCTCCGATCTCGTCGTTACGCGCATCCATCGACGTCACCGAAGACTGCGATGATTTCACTTCAACAGAGGTCTGTATAATATAAACACGTTATAATAAGTGATTGAAAACGTGGTGAATGGCTTACATCAAGATTGCTGTCGACTGACTTCAAGTAGCGTTTATCCATTGAAGAGTTGAGATTAGGTTTTCTCTTACGCGACGAGTATTTTGCGGTCTTCTTTGGCTTCTCTGGGATGGACTCGACGGTGGAAACAGAGTTCATGTCTTCGGATTTGATTGATTTGGTAGTAATGCTGGAAACGGACGACGCAATGGAGGCGGCGGTAGAGCTACTCTTCATGGGATGATTCAAGAACTGTCCCAAATAGAAGCCGCCATTCATTTTCTCATTTAGTTTTAGATTCTCTTCTTTGAGAGCTTTGAGCTCTTGATCTCTTTCAGCGGCGACTCTACGGTTAAACTCAATCATGTGGTCCTTCTCTT